TGTCAAATGAAAAAAACAAAAACWAATGTTAATAACACATAAGCTTGTGTGGYAGGCAAAAGTTCTGGAATATCGACACATACCTGGAACTCTTTAGAGAAGAACTCAATTCGGAGAGCAGAGCACCACTGAAGTCGCGCAGCTGATATCGCTTCTCGAAGATTTCTATAGATAAATGCAATTGCTCACGTTTCGTCTTCTCACGGCGCTTAACCATCTCCAGTACGGTGGTGGCACGCTGCAGGTCGCGCCTAATTTGATATATATATATATACACGCGTGAAATTAATACGATTTTTTTAGGTAAACAAACTGTTTTATGGAAGCTCAGTGAACGCTACTAAGTGCGGATTACGGTGTGCTTTCGTTTTGATCTTGAAGACCCTTCTTTCGTTACGTTATAATGTGTAAATGCAAAGCCCTGTCTCTTATACACATCTAGATGTGTATAATAGACAGGGATTACGGTGTGCTTTCGTTTTGATCTTGAAGACCCTTCTTTCGTTACGTTATAATGTGTAAATGCAAAGCTAACCCTGATAATGCCACAATAGTTGTAAGTGGAAAGTGGCACGTGACTAGTTATTTTACCATATATGTACATACGTATGTAAATATTGTAAATTCAGTAACGAAATTTTCTGGTTAGAAATTCCTGTACTCTTAAAAGACATAGTAAATCTGGATCCTAAATATATGCATACAAATTAAATACACTAAATTAAAAAAAAAAAAATCAGTTCAGTTCACTTACAAAATATTAATATAATTCATTAACAAGAAAAAACCTTAACTTCGGCTGCACCGAAGCTATAATACTATTAGTTACATTTTTATAGCATAAAAGGGCAGCTGTATGCTATAGCGATGCGATCTGAACAATTTTTTCGAAGGTTATACTGTTACTTTGGATAATAATATCTGCGAAATTTCGTAAAGATAACATGTGAACTTAAAAAAAAAATTCAGCTATATTCAGACAAATAAACAGCTTCTTGGTCAAAAAAGGCCGAGTGCGAAATTCCAGATTGATATCTCAAAAACTGAAGGACTACTGCATGTATATATAAGGTGCGTTCATCATCAAAAGTCAACCGAAATCATCATTGAAATTCTTGGAAATGGAATTGAACATCTCTAAAACATTGAAGCAAAAAGAGACTCTTTTGAATAAAATAAATTGATTTTGCCGAAAAACCATTTGTTGTTTTTTTTTTAATCCCTGTTTAATTTGGAACGCACCTTGTACTGACAGACAGACAAACGAGCATGGCTAAATCGACTCAGCTTGTCGCCCTGACCGTTAATTTTTTATGTAGGTATATACATATATTTACTTTATGGGGTGTCTAACGTTTTCTTTTGGATGTTAAAAAATCGTGGCCCGTGGTATAAAAAGACTATGTTACTTTGAATTAACTTAAGTTAGAGTTATTTTCTTTCAAATCCAAAAGTAGGTTTATGACATTTTGTCACACCACCCCGCCCCATCTATAGCATGCTATCAKTTATAATCAAATTTAAAAATACTGAAAATTTTGAGGTTAGTAGTAAAGTTCARTAGAATAGGCTCGTCTACAGCCTTTTCAAAAACAATTTCCTCCTTATGGTTACACCAATAAAAAAATGTCGATTATTTACTGATAATTAGGAATMAATTCTTGCTTTAATGTTTTTTTCTTGAAACCCTTTTTCTTTTGAAAAAAAAAATTTTTTGTTTAAGTTTGTTTCAACTTTTACCTTAAGTTTTCTTCGCATATATGTATAAATAATGTCCAGCTTAATAATACTAAAATGCCGTTATATGGCGTTCACTTATCAAGTTTTCAACTAGAAGAACAAAATTATCTGAAACAAAATACTGCCGTTTTTATCTACTCTACTGTTAGTTACTACTGTAGTTTTAATTACGATCATAAAAGAAGTTTAACTACTACTGGAAACTACATTTACGTTTTTTATTAGAAAACAAAAGCAAAAAAAAAATAGGTAGTCACACTGGCCCATATAGTTATTCGTACGCACCTCAGCTTGAGCATCTTCTCGTAGGACGTTTCATCGTTTTTGCGATTCTTTCGCGTTTGCATCTTTTCAGTGCGTCGGCGAAACGCTAAGTACGGATTGTTCGAAGATGCGCCCGGACGATTCTCCGTTTTCACAGTCAGTATCAGCGGGTGTTGCTGTATTATTTCAAGTTTTAATTTTAGCAAAATTTGTTGTTACATTTTTTCAAACATTTTTAACAATTGTTCTTTTTTGAAATTTCAATCAATATTTTTTATATAAATTGTGCATCTTTTATGAATTGGCACATTCTTTCTTCTCTATTATTATTACGTTTTAATAATAAGATTATTACCATTTTTAAGCGTTTATTAAGCCAATAGTCGTAAACGGCTATGCTGACTTCATCGTCCTGTTTAAGCAATGCTTTCGCCTCATTCAGCTTAACGACCATTTGCCCTGAACTCTTCTCTAGCCGATCCATCATCTGCTCAAACTTCAGTGGTGTCAGATCGAGGCGACGACTCTGTTGGCTGATCCAAATCTCATCGCTGCTATCCATGTCGTAATCTGGCACATCTTGCTCGAGACCCAACGCTGCAATGCGAGTGTGTGTTTCAAAAAAAAGGTTAGAAATTCTTTTTTGGTGCTGTGTGTTTTAGTTTACTCACGTTGCATGTGTATTAGTTGGCGCGGCATTTTGTAATTTGGCGGATACATGCGGTCGTAGGCTTCCTGATCGGTGGTAAAAACCTCTGGAGTTGGTATAATGAGGCCAGTACATATTGCCCGCTGCAGATGATGTTCCTGAAATAATTAAAAAGTAATGCATTAGGCATTATTTACACATTTTTTGTCAATTTATTATATTATTTCATGTTTTTGGAGAAGAAGAGAAAGTTTAAAAGTGTAGGACAGCCTGTTAAAATTTTAAAGCAATCGATTCAGTAGAAAAAAGTTAGGATCCGGGCCGACCAGAAAAAMCAATGTTTTGAGAAAAACGCGGTTAAAGTTAAACAACTCCGAGAGAGAGGACTCCGAGGCACTCTAGCAAACTCGTTATAACTCCCGAAATATTTCGAATTTCTGTCTGAAATTTTCACAGTATATTCTCAAGACATTTAGGCTGTTCACGATAAGGTSGTTATCGGGTTATGTGATTAAGTAAACAACAACAAAATGCGGTATGACAAAATAACCAACTTTGACCAACCCAGACCCTTGTTTACAGATTATGTGGTTGTTTGCTTATTTCCAGTGTTAGAAAGTCGTTGGAGTTTTACTAAATGGCAGCACAAAAAATAAATAAAACTAAGCGAATGGCATTTCTATTTCTATTTTCTAATTGGAAATTCTGCTATTAACAGCTGTTTTTTGTTTACAATTGCATTGTGACACTGTTCAGGGCGCAAGATGTCTGCAAATTTTATACAATTTTTATACAATTAATTTTGGATTATTTAAAAAGCACATACCTTCAATAGAGTCCATTTCCTGAATAGCAGAACTTATTTTAAATTCAATTATGTTGCTTTTTAAACTTTGTTTAGGCATTTTATAAGTAGAATACAATATGGGATGTTCACGGATCATAGAGGTTATTTTTAATCTAATACCCACATAACCCGATAACCACATTACCGTGAACAGCCTAATTGTACTTTCAAATTAAGCAAAAATTCGATTATTTTTAAACCAAGTTACCAGACTACTACCTTAAATAATATATTTAAATCAAAATATAAAAAAAAAAATTAAAAGCTATAAAACAAACTAAATATATAACCCATTATATCTCTAAAAGTCTTATTCAAAAAGACATTGGGTTCTCTAAATCAAATTTTTCTTCAGACTTTATTGGAAACAGTAGCGTAACTACCTCACTCTATTTCTTTATAGCATATTATTTCAAACACGAAAAAGCTTATAAATAGTAAAATTGGCAATAAAGAAGATCTATCAAAAACATTGCCTGTACTTAATCCTATAAATTGATATTTTTTAATAATAATACCTCTCTGAAATAATATAAAAGTAATCTATTTTTTTTCCTTAATTCACTATTCCGCAAGATAATTGGAGCAAGTTGGTCCAACGAGCTCTTGAAGTCTTCCATAGAAAGATTTTAATAAAGTTTAACAGTTTATAAGTAATGTAGTATGTATAAGAAGGAACTATACGTACTAAAACCGGATCTACCCAATCGGAATGAATCATTAAATATACCAAGTAATTTTGAGCAAAACTCTGCTATTGTTGACGCAAGCAAAATTCTTGCATGGCATCTTCTATTTTAGCACGATTTATAAAATTCTCTGATATCTTAAATAATTACACACCAGACTTATAAGCAATGTGGGAAAAGCCAATTTCAGTTTTTAATCATACAATTATATATTTTAAGTTGACGAAATCGTACATAAATTTCAATTAATTTTGACAATGCTAATCAGGACAAGGAGTACAATATTGACAAGATTACTTCAGACTTATCATTTTATTGTTATTTTTATTCAAGCAAATACAATCATATAAAGAAATAAAAATCGAACACTAAATGCGCTAAATGACGAATATAAACGCATCAGAGCAGCCAAAGGGCAATAAAATGATAATGAATCATTACTTGCACACACACAAACTAGCACACGTTCGCAGGTATACAAGTATATTCCATATTGATGCGTGCAAACTACACCGAATGTAATGAAATAAATAAACTAAAACAACAATTGATCACAGTCATCACATGTTGTCAACCACGCTACACTAACTAACGGCAAAACGGCGAAAACGTCAAAATGTGCAAACGAGTGTACCATAAACATTAACCGAGTACGCTGTACGCTTCTGCACTTGTATGGAACATGTGTTTGTGAAATAATCGCAAATGCATATAAGTAGATACATATATGTATATAAATTTGTTACATTTATTATGCAYATGTTCACTTTCATGTCACACTACGCCGCCACTCACATGGAAATGCGCCGCGTTTTTATAAAATGAAAAAGTAGATAAATACTCGCGCCAATTTCATTAGACGGTCGTTGAGCATTTGAGACTTGCGTCAGCGGTGGGTGGTGCAGTGTAGTGCCGGAAGTTTGTATAGTGGCAGGTGATATATTTTGTTAACAAGTGCAGAATACTACTTTTGCAATTAATTTGGGAGATGAATACTTMTCTGAAGCGGACGGAGTGGAGTGATGTTGAGACTGTGACAAGAGGCCTTTAATGTTGGAGTAAAAACAAACTAATTTGTTTAAATAGATCACTAAGCATAAAATGTACACAGATATACGTGAAACGTATATTTCTCCCTAACAAGGCTTATCAGTGTAACATAAAGAATAATTAACGAAATCGTCAACATTTACTTCGGCTATTTCTAAAKAATCGCTTAGCATATAAAAATAAGTAAAGTGGTAAATATTAAAAAACAAAAACTGTACTTGCAATAAAGCAATATATTCAATTATTTCAAGCCTTTTTAACATTTTATTGGCAACCCGTGTATACAGACCCGCAACAAAATCCTCACGTCCAAGGGAAAAGACAAAGAAATATTTTTGGTAATGGGCAGACCGGTTATTAACTCCGCAGTATCGATATGCCTCTAGATGTAGTGAAACGGAGACGAAAGAAAATGCAGAGGAGGCAGAACACTGTAGCCCATACGATCCTCCTGATGTCTCCCGTCTACCATCACCATAGCGAGGAACAATGCATTCCTCTCCAAACAGTTTCTGCTTGGATGTTGTAGTAGCAGTGTCTGCGCTAATTACAGTAGATACATTAACACCTTTACCGACTCCTAGACCAGTGATTCCATTTTTTGAAACCCGCAAATCCATGTAACGCCTTAATAAAGTATCAAAAGCAGATAAATACGATTGGGAAAATTTTTTAAGTTGAAAAATATTGTTAGTTCAAATCTTACCGCAAATTATCTGAACACATGTCAACAGATGCCACTTCAAAGCAAATATTATGCATCACAAAGCCATGAAACATCTGTCGAGACAGATATTTCTTTTTTTCGAAGTGTAAACGTTATAAACTAATATTTATAGTGAATACAAAAGAAAACATTCAAAGAAAAAAATTTTAAAAAAATATAGAAGTACGATATTCTCCACTAGTCAGTACTTATACTAGCCTGATATGCTCAAAATTCAATTAAAATCTAAATGAATGAATTTCTTTAAAAGAAAATTATTCTAACATAAAAACTGAAATGTTTTCAAGTGAACGAAATTAGAATAAGAAAAGGCCTTGTCCATTCCCTACTAACCCTATATAATACTGTATTTACGGGCAATGCTTTGAATCAATTATCAGTAATCAACTAAATGAAATGTGCKAATTATATTATAATAAAAGTATGTGAGTTAAATCGGAACTTTCAAAATTCCTACATATACACATGTACTTGCTTATTTAAAAGATTAGCTAGTGAACGCTTGAGCATTATATATTTTCTGAATACATACATATGTACTATATATCCAGTAACAGTTGGGTAAAAATACATATTTTCTCAGGAAATTCATTTGTGTGTACGTATAAATTTTCTGCTTGTCTGAACTCATATAAAAGTGTTATAAGGTTAATTTCAGAAAAAAGTATATGATATTTGGTATATTTTATACAACCAAACTGATGTACTTTTATACACAAAAATGATGTCTCTAAGAAAGTATTATTAATGAAAACGTTTGAAGTTCAATGCACAATCCAACATATTACATACAAATCAAACGTAAAACGGACGTCAAAGTCGATTTGGCATACATATGTCTATATAAAAATATTCTATCATATTACTTACATAATAAGTATATTGTATTCATACATAAATAAAACTTGTCAAAAATCTTAAAAACACTTTATCGATTGTTTTTAAAGCATTGACAACATTACAGTATACTCAATGCATTTGAAGTTACTTATGAAACAATGAACAATGAAAAAATAATAATAAAAATCTTTTGCAGAATCTTTCTATAGCTAGATAAAAACTCTTTGAAATAGTATACGATGTTAAAAAAAAATTTAGAGAGCGAAATGTATTTGTTAGTGAATTTATAATTTGATCTTATTTATTTCACGTGATAAATGAGTAATGAAGATAAGATTTATTAGAGATGCACATGCGAGCACGTATTGTGATATGACAGAGAATGGATTGGCAAATAAATGAATAAACTTTACTTTCCGCTATTATACACTATATAGTATAAAAGTTTTTCATACTTGATACTGTYATTATCATTGCCAAATTTGGGGAAGCTATCTTGTCAAATAAAAGGTTTTCATACTTCACATGGCGGTGAAGGAGGACAAGATGAAATATCTTCAGTCGTCTTGGCTCCATCACTGCTCACAGCCATAACTTCAAAGTCGTAGATAAGTTCGTCTATCATTGACACCAACAACGTCAGCTCGAAATACCCCGCATAATAACTGTTGCCAACGTARCATCTGTTCGGACTGAGTAAGCAATTGAGAATAAAGACTAAATTGCTTCACTCGACGAACAAAGACTAAATTCTACAAGTCACTCAWCATCCYCGTCCTGCTTTATGGGGCAGAGRCATGAACGATGACAACATCGAACACAAATTAACACTCACCGATCCAAACGGGGTTAGRTTGCCGAAAAAACAGYCCTTGGTCGGATGAAATCCGAGTCAATTCCGGTACGTAGAACCTCCCGTTAGATGACGTCAACGACAACATTGATAACACTCACCATCCCAACGGGGACTGAGTTTTCRAGAGAAAGGTTCTGCGGAAGATTTATGGTCCTTAGCGTATTGGCAACGGCGAATACCGCAGTCAATGGAACGGTGAGCTGTACCAGATATACGACAACATTGACATAGCTACGTTGTCTAGGTCAAGTCGTTCGAATGGATAAAAATAGAGGAAGACCTCCACTCCGTTGAAAAGACCAGGTGGAGAGAGACCTGGCTACACGTGGAATTTTCAATTGGCGCCAAACTGCAAAAGGAAGAACGACTGGCGCGTAGTTGTAAACTCGGCTATAACCGAGTAAACTAAAATTTTATCGTTACCATATTATTCATATGTATACCTTYATAGCATGAAATTCTTTATTTTTTAAATATTAAATACCATAACTAATAAAAAGTATAAATCATAGCGATTAAATGAATAACCTAAAAAACTGATAAACTAACGTATTCGTTTCCAATTAGTTGACAAGAGCTATATGAGCTATATATTCTAAAAAAACTGGCTTAGTTTTTCACATAGCAATAAAATATAAAAACATAAAATAACAAAGAAATGTTATAAATTTAAAATTTACCCGAAAAAACTATAGTCATAAAGAAGAATAAGAAATAAAAAGAGGAGTGCCAGCAAAACAAAAAAAAAACAAAAAACATTTAAAAAGATAGACATTAAGAACTTGTCCGATAGCAATCAAAATTAGTAAAAGAAACTGAAGAAAATTATAAACAACAAAAAACCCATAACAACAACTGTATTAGATTGTATAGCTATACAAAATGATATGTATATTGTGTTTTTTTTTTTTTTGCTACGCGTTGGCTTCAAATATGTTATACACTCAGCATAATAAACTGGTAAGCGAATACTGAGTGTGTTTGATTGTCATTTCCGCACATACTACATTATTTCAAATTTAGCAGTTTTTATTTATACTCTACTTTAGGCTTCTTTTGAAAAGCATATCGCCTGTTGTCTAGACACTATAGTCGGATGACCATCGGTCAAACAGCTGTCTTATTTGACTTATTGCGCACAGTAAGACAACTTTGTAATAGTGCAAATTTTTTGCATTTTTGTGAACACATACCGTTGTGAATAAATAAAAATAATATAAGGACATTACTATTCCAACGCTAAAAATTCATATAATTGCATATACAAAATATAATTTTTGGATGAGGAAAAAACATTTTTTAATTAATTTTCAGTTAAAGTAATCAGACCGTACGGTATATTTATAACTAATTGCACCAAAAGACTCGTTTTAAGCTTAACGAATAAGATTCGTTATAAAAAAATCGTAAGGGRTCATTAGAAAATATTTGCGCAATTAATTGACTTAATATTACTAATGATAGTAAAATTAACAAATTTTTTGGAATATACATAAGTAGTATTACCAATTAGCAGCCTTCATGCAATCAAATGCCTTATATATGAAATGTAGCGAACCAAGTTTGAATTCAAAGCTTCAATCAAAGTCTTGTAGAAAAAATAAACAAAACGGAGGAAGAAAAAAATAAACATTTCATTCATTTGTAGCTAAGTTAACGACTATTTAAAAAAGCACGCTGAAATATACACACGTAAATATGTGCAAATGCAAGTGTGAATGTACATTTGTTTATTCATATCTACGGTTGAAGGTATTATTTCGAATCTATTTAATAAAACTTTCGAGATCTCATCGATAGTAACTCAGAATGATATTAGCTATTATTTTAATAATTTTGTGTTTCAATGTAATTATAAAGATTTGAAATATTATATTATAATTTAGTACTAGCTTTATAATCACGAATAAAACCTGGAAAAGTGAAAAAAACGGCAACATTTTATAGTACTAAACACTCGTTGTTAACAAACGAATAGAGTGTACGAGAAATATCAAAGTTGTCAATAACTCCCAATTTGACCATTAGAACATTTGGAAGCAAATAAAATGTCCAACTTTGGTTTTGAAACCACCAAAACACAGACACTACAAGGAAAGTCAATTGAAGATTTCTTTTTCCATAAGCTTCTGCCATTTTTTTAAGCTAAGGCGACACCAAACCTTGTTTTCTTATATTTATACTGCCAACAAGAGAGTCCACAGAGCAAAACGTGCAAATAATTTCACTTTACACCCACGTATAATGTATTCCAGAGCCAGCAAGATTGGGTACAGCTCTAAAAAAACATTCACTGACTACGTTTCGTTGAGGAACAAAGATGATAAACGCGGGGCTACAAACCACACGAAGGGAACTGACGGCTATGAACTGCCAAAAGCAAACACAGAAAATAACAACAACACGTGACTTTCGAAAACGAATAAAACCAAAGTAAGCCAATCGACGGCAGAAGATTCAGCAAAAAGAAAATTTAAAAACAAAAAGTAAAACAAAAACAAATAAAAGTTAATATCAAACAAACCAAAAGAGTTGCGAGAAAAAAAACTAAATTTGTGAACATTTTGTGGCGAAGAAATGAAGTGGAGGTAGACTGAAATATAATGGCAAGGCATGAAAAGTAACTAAAAACACTGCCAACACATGGCAAATTAGAATAAGACAAAGTATAAACAAAAATAAAAAAGAGAAATTGTAAAAAAAAGTGTACGAGTGGCACTTCCCAATTCTGACAATGAGCAATTTCAGCAGGTCACGACTTGCGTTAAGAGCAGCCCAGAACAAAGCACTACAACAACACTGCCAACGATTTCGAAACGCCTTGTAGACTTTTTAGTGTTTGGATTTTTCGACTCAGCAAAAAAATTCAAATTAAGTATAAACTTAAGAAAAGTGATAATGGAACCCCGATATAAAGATGGCATAAGAGAGTTAAGTAAAGATAAACAGCAAATAAGTATGATATTATACAAATAAATGGATGAAGTAAACATTATGCTTTGCAATTCAAACTTGAAATGCATAAAAGAATTAATGTAACTGAAAAGGTTTACGGTGCCTACTCTCATATACTTATATGATTATAGTATCGTTTTTTAGGACTCTGCGCGATAATGAATATTTTTTAGAGAAAAAATATAACTAACTTCTGCTGTTTATTCCTTTTGGAGTCACTAATTATAACAGTAACTTTGATTTTATTCATTAAACTAAAGTAAACAATAGAAAACGTGAATCCATATATGGCTTAAATTAACTGGATGAAAAAAATTAAAAGGAAACAACCGCATTCTTACATATGTATGAACGTATATACACTTTTAATGCAATATGTTACGTCTCCGTACGTA